CCATGATCCATCCATCCATCATCCATCATCCATCATCCATCCCATCCGTGTCCCTGCAGGAAGCTGGAGCTCTACTCCATGGAATGGGGGCTGCGGGAGGACCTGCGTGACTGCGTGGTGGCAGCTGCCCCCTATGGGGGTCCCATAGGTGGGTGCAGCCCCCCCAGACCCCCACCCTGATCCGGGCAGTGCCGGTGACAGCTCCGGGAATGTCCCCTCCTTCTCCCAGCTCTGCTGAGGAATTCCCGGCGGGACAAGACCCCTGGCGCCCGCCCGCTCCTGGAGATCTACACGTCCTCGGGGCTGCTCCTGGCCAGTGTCCCGGTGAGCCGGGAGGGGACAGACAGCCCGGGTTTGGGGACAGACAGCCCGGGTTTGGGGACAGACAGCCCAGGTTTGGGGACAGACAGCCCGGGTTTGGGGACAGACAGCCCGGGTTTGGGGACAGACAGCCCGGGTTTGGGGACAGACAGCCCGGGTTTGGGGACAGACAGCCCGGGTTTGGGGACAGACAGCCCGGGTTTGGGGACAGACAGCCCGGGTTTGGGGACAGACAGCCCGGGTTTGGGGACAGACAGCCCGGGTTTGGGGACAGACAGCCCGGGTTTGGGGACAGACAGCCCGGGTTTGGGGACAGACAGCCCGGGTTTGGGGACAGACAGCCCGGGTTTGGGGACAGACAGCCCGGGTTTGGGGACAGACAGCCCGGGTTTGGGGACAGACAGCCCAGGTTTGGGGACAGACAGCCCGGGTTTGGGGACAGACAGCCCGGGTTTGGGGACAGACACCCTGGGTTTGGGGACAGACAGCCCGGGTTTGGGGACAGACAGCCCGGGTTTGGGGACAGACAGCCCGGGTTTGGGGACGGGGTGAGAGGGAGCTGCCCTGGGCTGGAGGAAGAGGATGGGATGGGGTTTGGAGCAGGAGAATCCTGTCCCTGGTGGCCAGGATGGGGTGGAGGATGGGATGGGGTTTGGAGCCACAGGAACGTTCTCCTCTCCCCTGCCAGGGGCTGGGGGGGACATGGGGACATTGCCACAACTGCAGGGACATGCAGAGCCAGGGCAGGTGAGGTTCTGGAGCTCTGGGTGAGGTTCTGGAGCTCTGGGTGAGGTTCTGGAGCTCACGGTGAGGTTCTGGATCTCTGGGTGAGGTTCTGGAGCTGTGGGTGAGGTTCTGGAGCTCACGGTGAGGTTCTGGAGCTCTGGGTGAGGTTCTGGAGCTCACGGTGAGGTTCTGGATCTCACGGTGAGGTTCTGGATCTCTGGGTGAGGTTCTGGAGCTCTGGGTGAGGTTCTGGAGCTCACGGTGAGGTTCTGGATCTCTGGGTGAGGTTCTGGAGCTGTGGGTGAGGTTCTGGAGCTCACGGTGAGGTTCTGGAGCTCTGGGTGAGGTTCTGGAGCTCACGGTGAGGTTCTGGATCTCTGGGTGAGGTTCTGGAGCTGTGGGTGAGGTTCTGGAGCTCACGGTGAGGTTCTGGAGCTCACGGTGAGGTTCTGGAGCTCACGGTGAGGTTCTGGAGCTGTGGGTGAGGTTCTGGAGCTCTGGGTGAGGTTCTGGAGCTCACGGTGAGGTTCTGGAGCTCTGGGTGAGGTTCTGGAGCTCTGGGTGAGGTTCTGGAGCTCACGGTGAGGTTCTGGAGCTCTGGGTGAGGTTCTGGAGCTCACGGTGAGGTTCTGGAGCTCTGGGTGAGGTTCTGGAGCTCACGGTGAGGTTCTGGAGCTCTGGGTGAGGTTCTGGAGCTCACGGTGAGGTTCTGGAGCTCTGGGTGAGGTTCTGGAGCTCACGGTGAGGTTCTGGAGCTCTGGGTGAGGTTCTGGAGCTCACGGTGAGGTTCTGGAGCTCTGGGTGAGGTTCTGGAGCTCACGGTGAGGTTCTGGAGCTCTGGGTGAGGTTCTGGAGCTCACGGTGAGGTTCTGGAGCTCTGGGTGAGGTTCTGGAGCTCTGGGTGAGGTTCTGGAGCTCACGGTGAGGTTCTGGAGCTCCGGGTGAGGTTCTGGTGGTTCCGCAGTGGAAGAGCGGGCGGCTGGTGCAGCTGGGCTGGACGGCAGGAGAGGACCTGCTGTGCATCCAGGAGGACGGGACGGTGCTGGTGTACAGCCTGCTGGGCGAGTTCCGACGGCACTTCAGCATGGGAAACGTGAGGGGTCGGGATCGGGATCGGGGTTTGGGATCGGGGATTGGGGTTTGGGGTTTGGG